ACGAAATGACAAATAAATCTGTCTAAGTCTAAAATGCAATTCAGTTCATTTTATTTTATTTATATAGTACCAATACACAACACACATAATCAGAAGGCACTTTACAGAGACACATACAGTCAGGTTGGTTAGGAAAAATTGTTGATTGCAATTAGTCATTGACTTGCAAGAAATCCTCCTCCTAGAAGAGCTTGTGGCGACGACTTTTGCTTGCATTTTGTTGCACTTAACTGGACATTAATCTACCTCTGAATATGTATCAAGTTTCTTGAAAAACACGGTAGTTGTTATTGCTAAGGTAAATTTAGCTGCACAATTTATTTAATGCCAAAATGCCAGTTAAAGTGTAGCTAACGTCAAAATCCACTTTTTTTTTTGCACATAAACCCATCAGGTGGCACTCTGAAGTACATTTTCACCATTTTCCTGTAAATCTGTTAGTTCTGCAACAGTTGTCATTAAGCAACACTTTTGACCCAAATGTTAGCTTAATATAAGATTTAATTAATTGATTTCTCCAGAAAATATAAAGCACTTAGGCCACACTGATGCGCCATGCATGCTGATTTTCTCAAAAACTTGCCTATGTAATTTGAGATGTTCAGATCTGTAATGGTCATGTGTAACCTAGTATAAGCCAGGATGTAGCTCAATTTGAATTCAACACAGTATCAATCAGGTAAGGCTCCGGGGGAAAGTCTTCACAAAAGGGGGGGACATTCAGTACAATTCTTCAAGTTGATTTGGTAAATCACCAAGTTGCATGTGCCTTCTGTTGAGCTTTTAGCCAATCACAGCAGTGTTAGAAGCTGTGCCGTATCACATGCTTGATTTGTTTTACAACTAGTGAAGTTAGCTGATAAATAGGATTTTTACCCAACCCGGATCTTGTAAACATCTTTCCCATTCACACAGTCAAAAATCACATCCTTTTGCTCATTTTCAAAAAGAAATATAGGGTATTCCAGTTGAAACTGATGCAGCCATCTTTGTTTGGCTTCAGCCTTCCACCTCCGGTGGATGCTTTGACGTCATACACGTCACTGCATTTCAGTGGTCTGAAACATTTCTCTGTCGAGCCCAATGCATCTATTGGATTCTGGTAAGATGTATTTTAGGGAGTTTATGCACTCAAAAAGCTTGCAACAATTAATCTTGTTTGGTAAGGTCATGTGGCCCATAAGTTGCTGTACGATAACCTTAGCTCTCCTACTCAAATGCTAATTAAGGTAAAAGAAGTTATAGAAAACAAAACTATGATATGAGATTTTAATATCATGAAGTAAGACTTGAATTTTTGCAGCAGAGCAATGTTGCCGGTTTCTTTTCGAGGCACTAAACATGGAAAAATGGAAATTACAGTGGCTAAAAGTTAAGCAGTGTTGCTTTAAAGGTTCTATATCATGTATTTTTTTCTTAGTCTTTCAAAGTCAGCTAAATATAAAATAATGCAGTTGGCATTATGGAGCAACCATCATGTAATATTACTTGCTTTCTAATAATATTTTTCAAACCTATAAAAAAGATGCTTGCTTTCACTGAAACTCCACCTCTCACCATTTGCTTGTTTCCCATTATGTCGTGTCATTGTTGAGCTGCTGCAGTATGGAAATCATAGCGCTTCCAGTGATTAGGCTCTTCCTTTTTTTTTTAGAACTTTTTATTTTTAAAACTTTTCACAACAAAAGAACATTCCCTGAGCCAAGAGTAATTAAATCAATAACAGAAATACTGATGCCACATATACAATATTTCGACATAAATGCAGCACGATAAACCAGGTCACCTGAGACTTTGAATACCTTACAAGGGAGAACCGCACGTATACATACACACAAACTCATACCCCTCCCCCTCCCCTCCATGGTGCTTACCCACAGGCCAAAAATACAACATACAGTAAACAAACAGCAAAAATTATATATATAATATATACCCACCTACGAGTATACATACACACACGTATTCAACTATATACCTTAGTAGTACCGATGACGGAGCAGATTGCGATCCATTAGAATCACTAGAGCCCAAAATCACAAACCCAAATACAATTTCACCAAATGCCATCTTTGATTGAACTTGTCCACTTTGAGTTGTAAGCAAGCGGTCATTTTTTCCATCATATACACTTGTTTTACCCGATTCTTCCACTCTGCTATAGATGGTGACAAAACTTGTCTCCAGTTTGCCGTTATAGTTTTTTTAGCTACTAATAGTAAAATGTGCAAAATATACTTTTGGTCTTCATTAAAACAGTCTGGTATTATATTCAGTAAATAAAACAAAGCATTTGAAGGTATTTCTCTGTTTATAATTGTCTCTATTTCATCTCTAATCCCCTTCCAGTACTGACTGATAACCGGACAGTCCCACAGAATGTGCGTATGGTCACCAATCTTCCCACACTGTCTCCAACATAGGGCCGCTGAAGGATTTTTGACAAATCTAGAAATTAAAAATGGGGTGCGAAAAAATCTTATTAAAATTTTCCAACTGAATTCTCTCCACATTTGGCTGTTAGTTCCTTTGTGACTGCCTTCGCACAATATGTCCCACTGTTCGTCCTCTATTATTGAATTGGATTCTAATTCCCAGTTTTCTTTTACATTATAGGTATTATGATAATTATTAGATGAGAGAATTTTATACAAATGTGAAACATGTTTTCGGGTTGGAAAGGTCTTTTCTCCAATAGTAATAAAATATTGTTCTATATCATTTGGGTTTCTATTAAGTCTATTACGTTCCTTGTGACTAGTAATGTAGTGCCTAATTTGCAGATATCTATATAAATCATTTGCAGGGAGATCAAACTGTTCCTGAAGTTGTGCGAAGGACTTTAAGTCAGCCCCATAGAATAATTGGTTTAATATTTTAAGACCTTTAGCTGCCCATCTCTTATAGCCTTGGTCCCATGTGGAAGGCGGAAAGTCTATATTACCAACAATAGGCATAGCTCTGGAGACTGACCCTGTATCTCTAAGCATCTTTTTAACCTCTGTCCATATTTTTAAAGTGTGTTTGGTCCATTCATTTCCAACTTTCATTTTATTAACAGTTTTGATATCTAGGAAGGGAAGAGTAGATAATTGTATACCTTTAGTTTCACCCCGTTCTATTTGAAGCCATTTTGCTTCCTCATCCCCTCCAATCCAAGTCACAATGGCTGATAACTGCGCTGCCCAATAATACCATTTTAAATTGGGTAGAGCTAAACCACCCCTGTTTTTGGGATTAGGCTCTTCCAAAGGAGGATGAACAAATCCGAGGCCTCTTGCAGTGCAAAAACACATTTTTGCGACATTAGCCAAAAGTAGAATAGTTGCTTTCCCTCTGCAGATTAGGTTCAAATAGAGCCGCTTTGAGCAGAAAGGATTGCTTTGCCTCGGAACACAGAAAGTGTTGTTTACTTGGCAGCATTGTCATGGTAGGTGTATTACCATGGGATCAAACACAGGTAAGATAGACAACAAACTTAAGCTTATTCTATCAATGGTTTAAAGAGAGAGAAGAAGGTTTCAACATTGTTATAGTATCTGGAAGGTTTGCTACAGATTAGTGGAGCATAATAACTAAATGCTGCTTCTCTACTCTGGTTCTCTTTCTGGATATGCTGATTAGATTTAACCCAGAAGACTGGTGAGGTTTAGGCAGTTGATGCAATGGCAGTAAGTCATTAATTGGAAATTAGGTGATGCACTCTACTTTCTTAGTCTTAGCGAGGACACAGGCAGCAGCATTCTGGATCAACTTTAGTTGATTGACTGACTCACCTGTTAGGAAACAATTGTACTAGTCAGTTCGACTAAAGATAAAGAGTCAATTAGGTTTTCAAGATCTCACTGAGTCATTTACTTCTGGAAATGTTCTTAGAGTGATAGAAGGCCATCTTTGGTACTTTATTTGATTACAAGATTATAATGGACAATAAATAAATAAGGTAATTATTACAAAGGCGAATAAATAAAGAAGCTAATTTAAAGAGATATACTTTGTCTCACTGTATAATTTAATTTCTACCTACATGAATTTGTTTATTGTATTTTTGGGGGCAATTAATTGAATGGTTATTTATTTACAGAGCAATTTATTTATTGCAGTATTTATTTTTAGATATGGCACAGTTGGTCCATTTTTAACTTTATTTTTTAAAAAGTAAGTACAAGCAAGTAAGACAATAGCAACAGTACAAATCTGTGGAAGGCATAGTAGAGGCAGATTTCAAAAAATGGAAGTACAAGGCATTGCTGATAAGGAAAAAAAAGAATACATAAAAGGAATGCCTTATAATAATGAAATGATTACTAACATGGCAACAAGGGGATTCATGTTAGGCTTGTTGAACATTGGTGGGCAAACCCATCAGTATTTCAGTCAGGTATTCGTATGATTCGATACATTTAAGAGATTTCAAATATAACTTGAATTCGGATAAAAAAAAAAAAAAAACTTTAAAGATTGGGGATTATCTCAGCACTCTTTGTTTATTATTAAAGAATTTTGCTAAACACAAAATTTGGTTCTGTTGTTTTGTTTTTCAATAATATTCCAAAAGTTACCATATCTCTAGAAATAGATTCAAGAAGTGCAATTTTTGATTTGATCCATGTTTCTAAGCAATTCCAAAATGTTTTGGTTTGATTTCATCCATAGAAATCTATTGATTCTATATCCCTCTCACAGAATGAGCATTTATTTTCATCAATATTAAAACAAATTCAATAGTTCTCTTGAGGGGTAAATTGCAATCAAATTTTAAAATAACTTTAGCTTTTGGATGTATGGGGAGTTTTAGATAAAGAGTTCTTTTTGTTTATTTTCCCCGGGAACAAAGTTTCGTTTAAACAATTCCTAATTGGGCGGTTATTGAATTGTTGGTCAGTGATTGATGTTCCATTAACAGATAAATTGGGTAGCCATAGCTATCAGTTAGTTAAGAGGAGAAAAAAGAAAAGAAAAAAGCCTCTCACAATATGGCGGAGAGGTTTACGTAGGACGCTTTTACGTCGTCTCCACCCCTACGTCATCGAACCCGAATGGCCATAGATTTTCACGCCTGGAAAGAAGCGATTTCTCAGATATCCCTCTCAAAGCTTTACGTCGATGGGATCTGTATTGATAGGGCTCATGCAAGGTATTTAATTTGCGTTTTTTAAACTACGATGCAACTGATTATCAAATTAGTAGCAGCCGATTTATCCGTTTTGCTCCATATCCATTGTTTTGAATTGAGTGTTAGCAGCGATAGTGAGTGTAATCCAGACGGTTAGTGTTTAATGCTAGGCCTCGCTACGGTTTACTATCGCCTTAACGGCTCCTAATCGCTTGAATTTATATTTATTGCTGATGTCAGATTCAACACGCCGTTTATTAAGGTTATATAAGCTGTTTTAATGCTTTAAAATGCAGTATGTCAGGGTTAACGTAAAGTGTGGGCACGTTTTTATGTATTAGAGGTGTGTGATTTTTATATATTTTTTTAAGGCGGCCGGACCGGTTTGGTTTCTCGGTTTGTTGTCTCTCATCAAAGCGTGATCGAGGGTTTGTTCGTGGATTGCAGGAGATCCGCGTTGAAAACGGAGGTGGAGGCAGCCCGGAGCGCTGAGATGAGTCCAGCCCAGAGCCAGCTGTGCCCCGGCAGCCAGTCTCCCAGCTGCCCGTCAACATCAGGAGGGAGGATCTGATGTGATGAGCGTGATGGATGGATGGATGGGCTGAACGCTTAGATTTCACAGATATCTGATGAGTTTGGAGTCATGTCTGTCTCTGTAAGTACATTTATTACCTTCCTTAAAACTTCTAATCTAATTGTGGTTTAAAGATCAGAAGTGAATACATTGAAGCTGATGCACATTTTTTTTTCCTTTATGAGTATTTTTTTCTGTATGTTTTATGAGGATCCTCATTGCCTTCATTAGTGTTTTCAGGGGAAGGGAGGAAGGGTCCCACATGGCTCATTGGAGCCTCCCCATCCCTGAGGGGGGGTTTGGTTTAGAAAATGAAAGGGGGGGCCTGACTCTCTGACTTTGGGTTGGCAATTAAACCCTAAACAGCAAGGGACAGATGTGCCTCTCATCCCCTCCCCCTGCCTCTCATCTTGCTCATTACCATTAAGCTCTTGTCCATTTGATCATTGATCCACCTCCGACTGCTTCCTCTTTCTCTTTTGGCCATCATTACTGACCAAGATGGGGATTTGGATTTTTCATTCGGATCTCCTGAGCTCTTTACTATTCAGTGTGTTTTGCTCTCCATTTCTTTGCAGTACAACTCTGGGTCTCTTCCCCCACTTTATGCAATTTCTTGCTTTTAAATAAAACATGCTTACCATGATTTTCCACTCGGCATGGTGATTTGTTTTTCTTCTTTGTTTGATATTTTGATTTAAATGCCCTGTGGTTGATTGTTTGTGTGTTTCTTCATGTTCTGAGCAGCTGATATTGGTGTTAGTTGATCGCAATTTGAAATAAGATCAGAAAAAAAGAGCCTTCATGTGCTAATCCAACATGTTAAACAAGGTTGGGAGCTGCCAACCCTGCCTACAGATTTTTATGCTTTCTGTTATCCTCGTGCATTTTTCTTCTTTTAAAAAACATGTGACCAAATTGAAACCCCAGACGGTTGCAATCCAGTTTCTCTGCACTTTTCTTGCGCTGATAAAGGATTAAACGAAAGATAGTGACAGTGGCAGTTCTAGATAAAATTTACCAACAGGCCCCGGTGGAGTCAGTCTTTTTTTTCACATCAGTTATGGCCTTTTTCTGTGCACTTGAAATAAGATTATGGTTGTATTTCTTTTTTTTTTTATCATGTTATTCCATCAACAAATTTTCATATCTATCTGCTTAAGTCAAGGTAATATACACATACTGTGCATTATTTAAAAAAAAAGTTGCTGCATCATCATTTTTTGCAGTTTTTTTTTTTTTTTTGTTTTTTTTTTTTAGATCAGGGGCCACTGGCTCCTGTTGGCCCCGTCTAGAACCGCCCATGTCTGAATTAGTGTGAGGATTTTATTGTACGCAGTATTGATGGTTCATAGGAGCGATTATGACCCCTATCAAACTAAAAGATGGAGTCTGACAGGACGTGAATATGTGTTCTTACGACCTTAAAGGAACATAAACTCATATTTAAAATAATTTGTTGTTATTTCACCCCCCCCCCCCCCCCCCATAAAAAAGTTGGTTATGAACTGAGAGCCTAAATATGTTAATAAACGCTAGTTTAATTATTTGTTGGGGTGAAAACATGATCCTAAACGGTTTCATTGTGGGCTGTATATTAAAATGATGTTTTAATTGGTGAACTAATAAGTGTTGAAGGCCTCAAACATCTTTCCTCCTCTTTTCTTTTTTCAGACGGTTTTGGCAAAGGCGCTGTATGACAACACTGCAGAAAGCCCAGAAGAACTGGCTTTTCGGAAAGGCGACATCTTGATGGTTCTGGAACAGGAGCACAACGGGCCAGGGTGGTGGCTCTGCTCCTTACATGGCAAACAGGGTATTGCTCCCGCCAACCGCCTCAAAGTTTTGCAGACTGCCCCCCCGCCGGGCTCTGAATCTAGTACCGGACCAAAGGACGACGCTGTGTACCTGTCCCCTAGCCTGCCTTTGGCGCGCACCGTCGCCGGCAGCAGCACGGCCGATGCGGACGGGGTTTACCTGTCCCCACCCCCCACCGGTGGAGGGGTTGCCACTCGCACCGGAGAGCTACGCAAAGTGGAGGCTGGCCGGCCGCGCTCGCACTCTAGTTCTGGCACCCGCCCCAGACCGGACTGGGATATCGGGGCGGCAGGACGACCGAGATCCCCTTCTCTAAGGGGGCGGGGCTCTGAAATGTCTGGAACTGTTTACCAGAAACCACTAAGCCCCATGCCTTCTGCAGCTCTGCATGCAAGGCAGCCTGGAGTTCTCATAGCTTCGGAGTCTGTTTACCTTTCCCCCTGCGGACTGCCTAGGGCTACAGATGAACCAGAGGACACTACGTACCTCGTCCCAAGAGAAAAACAATCCAACGACTGTTACTTGGTGCCCAAAGGGACACCGCTTGCAACTGACGAGGTTTATCAGTCTCCGACAGGCGGTGGGGTGACCAGCGCTCTTTCTGCTAATGGAACCGCTGGGATCAGTGGAACCCCTCAGCCTAAAGCAAGCAAGGACCAACCTGGAGTGTATCAAACACCCAGCCCTGTTGGATCAAACATGCAACGACCGCCCGCAACTGTCCTGGCCCACCAGCACCCATCTCCGCTGACCCCCACCCCAGCGTCTCCCCGCCCCCTGCTCAAGGGTGTTCCCCCAAACCCTGCTGCCACCAGGGGCAAACCTGCCACTGCCAGTCACCGGGGATCCCCTTTGTTAATCCGAGCAGGGCAGGTTAAGTCTTTAGGGTCGCCAAGCTTTGCCCGCAAACCCCCTCCACCAGCACCACCCGTGAGGGGGGTCACCAGGAAAGACGCACAGCAAACAACGCCTTCATCGACCGCTTCCAAATCGAAAACTCAGCAAATTCCCGCAAGCCCGCAGCAAAAGGATAAGCAAACCAGAACTTCTCAAAGTAACGGCGAAAAGAAGAGCAACGGCTTGGACAGAAGCAGCGGCGTGCAGAATCAAGCCGGGGAAAAGCAGGATTGCTCAGAAGTTGCAGCTGAGCAGGTATGGCGGCGCCCTAAACCCCGGATGATGCTTCTTGTAGCCATCCAACATTACAGCTGATGTTTTTCCAACATCATGATGGATGATTTCATGCTGATCCACAGTCATAACATGTTGTCCTCTGCTGCCATGTTAGGTGTATGACACCCTTCCCAGTGGCAGGTGGCAGCAGCCGGTCCCATCTGCTTGCACAGAGGATGTTGACGGCATTTATGACACCCCTCGGAGCGTCCAATCACAAGTTGACCCCGAGACAGAGGTAAAAGCAGTTATTTATTGCTAGTGTGTTGTTCTGTGTCTTAAAAGAGCAGACAAAGATGTTAGTGTTTTGGAGGAAATCTGAAAATGCAATCGGGTTGAGTCCTGTAATCTAGTCTTACCTTTATCTCCACATACAGAGGGCCCTGTGGCCTGAAACAAGAAGCTAAAAAAAACATTTATGTCGATCTTGTGGTTTAAATTCATTCTTATGAAAATCCAGAGTGAGTGTCTTTGTTGGACCTGAATTATCTGAGACCATATGAGCCTTACAGAAAGCTACGACTCTACCCCTCCCCCACATGTTGCTGCCGACAGCTAGTAAGCTGTAGCGTATTGAACGCTTCAAGCAAACTTAGCTGTTTGGAAATGTTTCTGCACGTGAAAATCACAAGTAGCACCTCTGTAGATAAGGCGTTATTAATGCTCTGGTTATTATATTTGAAATAAATGTTGCCTATTTATATAAAAAAAAAAAAGTTGAGAATGATTTTCTGAAAAATGGCAAGTCTGATGGTATGAAATCGTGTGACGAGAACCTCAGACCAGCCCAGACCTGATGAAGTTTCCAAATGTTCACCAAAGAGCGTGGATTTAATTCTGATGGCTGTAAATCTACCAATTACCCACAAGATACTTTTTTTGTTTGTTTTAGAGTGGATCTAATGACATTTCTCCCTTTTTCCAAAAGTTTTTTTCAAAATTATACATGATACTTGAAATTTTACTTCCACAATGGAAAGTCTAATTTCAGGTTAATTCTAACTAATGCACTGATATTTATTTTTCTCTTACTCTGACTCTAAGTTAACTTGCCTCAAGTTATTAGAGATGCACCAATTTAGGTATATAACCGCCAACACTGTTTTAATTTAATTTTTTTTTTTACCTGCTTTTTGCCTCAGCAGGATTGTTATTTTTTTTTGGGTAACCCCTAAAGGAACCTGATAGTAGTTGAATAATATAACCCGTTGGTTCAATCAGTTCACGCCTTCATACTAAATTCAACAAGTAATGGAGGTTATGCAGCAGAACATGAAGGAACTAGCTTTTATTTATTATTATTACGTAAGGAAAACCACAGTAAACCGTATGCTGTTGATCTGTTTATAGACCGTGGGCATAATGTTCTTATAGTCTTTATACCTTAAATGAATAAATGAAAAATCATTGTTTTTCTCTTAAACGGTTGTCTATTCCCTATCTGGATCTCTGGCCGACTGATCCATGCATTCTTACAGTCTTGTTTCCGGATCCGACCTTGAAGTTAGACTTTACCAATCTAACTTATCTTGTTCTATCCTAAATAACAGCAACCTTGGTGTCAAATATAAAAATCGGTTTGTTTGGTTTATATCAGCTAAGAAAAAATAAACTATCAATTAACTTTTTTGGTTTTTGATTGGATTCTTTATTGATCAATTGTACTTTTAAGTAAGTTTAACTTACAGTTTTGTCTCGTTCATGTTTCTCATACTTGGTTTCATTTATTGGAGTCATTAGTTTAGAAATTTCTGGAAGCGGTGACTCTGCTCTGGAATTCATGTCTATACAAGTGCAGTGGGTCATGAATGCAAGAGATGCCTATCATATACCCGGCCACTATTTCTTCCCACATTCCACCATCGGTCTGTCTCCCTACGTCCTCCTCCCCCCCACAAGGCGAGGCCACACCTGTCTCTGTCTGCTGGGGAAGCCTGTCTATCCAGTCCAAATGTTGTTACTATTTTCTCCCCAGTCACACCCATGTGTGAGGGCCATGCCGTGGGTGTCCCACCACCACCCTGACCACAGTGGCCTCCCCTTTAATCTTATCCTGCAATGTGAGCCAGCTGCTGGACCCTGTTTTTTCTTTTTGTCCGTCTCCTTCTAGTCCTACATGTAGATTACAGTTTATTTTATTGGGTATAAAAAAAAACAGTAATTGTTAACCAAGCAGGGGCAGTACTAAGTGTGGGCCCACAGGGGCCAGTGCCCCTAGAGTCATGGCCCCTGTAATTAAGACATAGTACTAAACGAGAATTACAATGATTATGATACAATTCCGTTTTATTAAAGAATTAAAAAAATTTGTTGTATTAAGATAGGATCAGGAAAGGGGGGGAAATACTCTAATTTGTTTCAGTTGAATTATTAAGTTTTACTTAAGTTTTAACTCTGATCAAAACTTGTAATTTTCATTTAAAATTAATAATAATAATTTATCGATCAGTCGATCTAGAACTCTCACTGGTATGAAGTAGAGTAGCTTAAATTTTGCATACATTTGTGGTTTTATAAAATATTTAAATTTTTTGCTGATTTAAATTTCCCGCCTACTTCACTAGACTGGTTATGATGAAACTATTGGAGACTTAAGTAGAACATCTGACAAATATACTGTACTGCATGCATTTTTTCTGTGTTAAAAACATTTTCCACATATTTACTGTTGAATATCAAAGACATGTCAACTAAAACCAGACTGCTGGGAGGAAGAGTTTTATTACACAAATTAAATGCAACTTTTTCAGACATACCAATATTGCAGCTTAAAGTTTTGACAGATATTGACCTGATGCATTATCAGCTCGAACCTTGCATAGTTTTATTACTACTTTTGTTATGTAAAATGTTAGAAGAGGGTGAGATATCTCTGATTCTTAAACCAACACTGTGTTGATGCATAAATTCAGTCCTCCTGTGGTGTTAAAGCCATTTATATTAGGTGAGTAGGGAAACAACACTTAGGTGACCTTAGAGTGAGCCCAAATGCACGACTAATCCAAAGCAAAAATGTCTCTGTTGCAAAAAAATAAAATTCTTAGAATGGGTTGGAAAAGGGTCTGTATTCATGTGAATAAGAGGGTGATTGGAATAGATTTGGAGAATGCTTGGGAGGTATAGTCTGCTAAATATTAGCGTGGATTTGGCTGAGTTAGAACGTTCTTCCACAACAACAACCGGGTTATAGCTTTTTAATTCTTCTCCAAACCAGATTTGTCTAGTGTTATTGGTAAGAGGTTATTAACAGACGCCTTCTCAAGAAAACTCTATTTTATTGGACCCTATACTGCTGGTAAAATCCCTGAAAACTGTTATTTCCTCAACCTGTAGGTCTACGATGTTCCCACAATCACTCTGAACAAGTCGACCATCAATCTTGAGGAAGATGAAGACGAAGTCTACAGTGTCCCCACACTTCCAGGGATTCCTCTGGGTCCGGCTGAGTCCACCGGCAGCCTCCCCACTGAGGACATCACCTGTTATGTCCCGGGGTCAGATAAACGATCCAGCAGCGGAGAGCAGAAAGACTCGTCCGAGCCGGACTGTGGCATCTACGACATGCCCGCCCTGACCATTGAGGTCCTTCCTCATTCGTCATCGTCATCCTCCTCCATCTCCACTCGCCGCCACTCTGTTTCCAGTAACGGCTCTGGTGATGTCCAGTGGAAAGCTTCTCTGTCGAACCTTGTCCACTCGCTGCTGAGCGCGGCCTCCTCCCTGTCGTCACGGGACCTGGCTACCTCCCTGGCTGAGATCCTTTCCACCTGGAAAGCCAGCCATGCGGGGGACCCTCCCCCACCTCTTCAGCAAGCCTGGGCTCGGCTGTCAGACCTGCTTCCGGCGTTATCCGCCGTCGGGAACGCTCCACCTGCCGAGGGGCTCCTATCGCTGGTCCAACGCTCTCTCGAAGAGTGCAGCCTCCTCTTACAGGCTCAAGGGCGACCTCGTCTGTCCTCGCAGGAATCTCTGTCTCGCAGGCCTCTGCCTGCGCTCCCGGTGGCTGATGGGAAGTCATGCTGCGGTGGAATGGGATCTCGCAAGGGCAGCTGGATCCAAGAGCGGCCCCTGCCCCCGACCCCTCAACCCATGTTCCCCTTGGCTCCCGCTCAGAGCTGCATCACCCTAACGGTGACCCCGGTTAACGGAGAGGACGACCCCAGTAACGAGTATGCAGGGATTGGTTTGACCCCCATCCCACCCCCGGCACCCACAGGAGACAGTGTTGGATATGTCAAACTGCAGGTCAGTCTGCTGGTAGCTGTTGGTAACACAATGACTATAAAGGTATTCACAGCGCCACTGATTGTCCTCTTATGTCATCAGGGTAAACCCGATCTTCCTCCTGAGGTCCTCAACGAGAACGGACAAAGTGGAGAGCCAAGGGTGAGTGATTTCCCCGATATTCCTCCAGTCAAAGAAAGTTCTTCCTGTTTCTAGAGTGGTTATATGGTAAATTACCTGATTAGAACCATAGATTCTACCGTATCGTTAAGAAACTGAGATAAAGCCGAGATGAAAACGAGGAGAAAACAATTTTAGCATCAACACCTGTCTGACTCTCCGTCCCTCACGTCCTTGGCCCAATCATCTTTATTACCTTTCCTCTGTTCATCGAGCTTCGGCTATTACGCTGTGTGGGATCTAAAGAGAGCGGCGTAGAATCTAAAACCTCCAGACTAAAGTCTAGACCTTGGCTTTGCCATTGAATACCTTGATGCGTTTGCTTTTCGGCCCCTCTGCTGTAGATTGGCAGCTGTGTTTGGGATCAGGGCTTCTTTTGCATGACCCGTTTTGACCAGACATCCTCTGCTGGACAGCTGACCTCACATTTGACTGTGAAATCCTTTGGTACGCAGTAGGGATCATGGGAGAATTGACGACGACACGGCGCTTAAGGTTGTGGCTGTGAAACGAGCACATGCTCAACAGTTTGTGTGAATTGTTTTGTGCCGATAGTTTAGTTTCTACAGCATGGTGCATTACATCCGTCTCCTATGTTAGACGGACATCGTTCCAGTAGTCCTTTTTTTCTTTTTCCACGTTCTGCCTCATGTTGTCATATTGTGGATTCAGACAGGAAGTTCTCATGGGTTTTTATTTTATTTTTTTTACCAATTTCTCTGAGCTTTACACAGTTTAATCTTGGGGTGAGGTTCCTTGGCAGATTGGCAGCTGTCTGACATGTTTCCCACCATAGAGCGGTTTATCTCCGCCCAGGCTGATGAGCAGCAACAGCTGCTTCTTGACGCCGTGTTAGAAAACTGTTCACACCTGTTGATCAATGATCAGCAGTACCTGGCTGCTACTTTCCCTTTTTAAAACATCGGTTCTCTTTTTCTGCCGTTGAGGCAACTTAAATAAACCTGAAATTCTAGTTTCTTCTCTGTTATGTGAACCTCTTAAGATTGAAGTGCGCTTTCTTTTTCCCGTGACTGTACCTGGCCATGTTGTGTCACTCTCTGCTTGCTGTCAGCCATGATTTGTGTAGCGCTAAAGCACAAACAGCAGCTCCGCTTGGACAAGTCACTTATTCACTCTGACTTGACAGCGCGCTCTGTTTACTACTAAGCACTGTGACTCATTAATCCTGCTCTCCGTAGCTGTTTGCTTCCCAAAGCAGACTCGCTATGTTTATCCCCCCCATCATCACTTTGCTTTGCACTGGCTTCTGCAGCCCTTGTTGATTGCAGTGTTTTAAAAAAAGACAGAATAGCTGCATACAAACATTATAAAATGTCACCATTTTTTCTTCTTCTGAGCGTCAGACTCTGAGGTCTTGTTGTACTTCAACAAGCTGAAGTCACGTCTTCAGTGCAGCAGTCTGCATTTTTCCTGCCGCTCGCTGGGTTCCCTTGTCATGGCAGCTCAGGCCAAAAACAAGAGTTCACTTGTAATTCTCAACAATCTGGCCTCACATAGGAAGGAGGCTCTCAGGACAATAAGTGACAGAAAGCACAGTTCTTCCTTCAGCAGAGCTTCTTGTTTTGTTGTACTGCTTCTCCAACGCTGCACTTACATCTGAGATGTAGAGGAAAAGTTCTGCAGCTGATTTCCATTTAAGTGAAGTAAACCTCCCTGATATTCTTTGTTCACAGTTTGAAGCAGTTTCCAATAAATATGTGTGGCTTAAAAAATCTTAGTTGGGCTTTAATAAAAAAAAAAAAAAAAAAAAAGTGAAAGTGACATCATTGGGGCTGTATGCCATGTAGCCTTGCTTCAACATGAATAATTTACTAGGCTGATCCCACTTTTGGATCTGACTCTTTTTTTTTTTTTTCTTCTGCTCCCTTTCTGTTGTTCAGTCTTAGTCTGCAAGTGTTGTTTTGCGTTAGTCCGTTGGGATGATTTGAAAAGAGTTACCAAGAATTAGAATGAAGTAAAGATGAGGTAAATTTACAAGAGCGACATGCAAAATATTCTCCTCCTAAATCATCCGAATTTGGCCAAGTTTAGCCGTGAAACTTGAATGAATGTACCAGAAACCAAAGCAGCAGAGGCGTGGAGTGATTTGAAAAGGCTTCTTTTTTTTTGCTTTCAGATAAAAAACTGAAAAGTGTGGCTTTCTTAAGTTGATAATTTGTAGAAGGTCTGTATACATGCTGGCCATGAGATTTAGGTTTTGTAATGGCAAATCCAGATTTGGAAAAAAGTTTCCTGAGTTTCTTTTTCAAATAGAATAGAAACCTTTTTGTCTTTAAATCCCCTATTGGGGAAAAAGAAAAGAGCCGTTATCCGTTTTTCAGTTCTAAAACAAAAACAACAAAAAAGAAAAACAAAAAAGAATGAATTTAGACAACCTTTTCCAATTCAGCATCCCCCTTCCACATCCATTTTGTTTTCGCTTTGACACAGAATCAATCTTGACAGCCAGCATAAAGAGACTTTATTCACCATTTATTTTGGTCAGAAGTTTTGTATTTATAATTAGTTTTGCCAATTTAGCCATTTCATTGTCAATATAAAAATATATTGTGTTGAAAAGCTATAGAGATCTGGTGGAGTGCCTTGAAGCTGTCGCGTTACTTCCTGGTCCAGAGTGGTACTGATGGTGGTACTTCATAGATCTGCTGTTTTGTGGGCATCCTTTTCAGTAATGCCCCAATTTTTGGATGTCCCTAATAACCATTCAATTGAGGGAGAAGTTTATTTATTTATTTTTCGACGTAAGAAATGGAAAATGTTTCTTTTTTTTTTTTTTTGTTTCTTGATTATTGTATTTCCAACCAAAACAGCCAAAATTAGCTTGTTTTTTATTCTATTTTTTTCTCTTGTTTTAATTACAGCTAATAGCTGAAGCTCAGTCACAATGGATAGATAGCACCCGGGATCATCCATTTTGAATTGCTGCCACAAACATCTAACCGTGCTTAGAAATCTGGATTTTTGTCCCAGAAAACACAAACATATTTTGATCAAATGGATTTATTTAAATGTTCCTATGTTTAGGGTCATTATCCTGTTAGATCAGGGTCACCAACTGATCTTCAGGATCTACTGTTGTGCAGATTTTAACTACAGTCCTGCTCTATCCCACAGCTAATTTAAATGACTGATTACTCCTTCAGCATGTCATCAAAGTTGGCAAAGCCCTGTTAATGAGCCATTAATTTGATTCAGCTGTATTAGGGGAGGGGATGCATCTAAAACTATTAGGACAGTAGATTTCAAGGAGCAGTGTAAGGGCGTGAAATGCCGCCCAGTTTTTGAACACCTTCTTTGGCCCTGCAGGTAACAGTCCCCCAAAGCATAAGGCTGTAGCCACCATCTTTTACTAATGGGATGGTTCATTAGAATGTTAAAGCAATTGTTTAGCATTTTTTATGAGGATGTTTTTATATCCTAACCCAGCTTTAATCTACATAACTTCCTCCCCAACTTGCCTGTTGCATTACTTGGTCCTCAGGGTTAATTAAAGAAAAAAAAATGCATGTATATTGTGACTTAAGAGTAAATGAAGCTGAATAGAGATGTATTATTTGTTTAGATTATTTTTTTTATACTTTTAAATCCATGAGTTATTAACTTTCTACTAAATAAATAAGTATAAAAACATAAAATACATAACAGCTAGAGCTTTAATGTGACAAAGTTCAAAGGGTATAAATGATATTTGCAGGTGGAATTGGTTAGAAATGTGCTCCTCCATTCAGTTTCTGTTGCGTTTCTCCAAACAGCTGACTCCGTCGCCTCCTCTGCCGGTGACGCTCTCCCTGGAGGACTCGGAGCTGCTGTCCTTCTACTCCTCCCAGAGCCTGGCGCACCTTTCCTCCCTGGCAGACGCCATCGATGTGCTCTACAGCAGCGTGCAGGGGAACCAACCACCTCGCGTCTTCGTCGCCAGGGGAAAGAGCCTCATTGTCACCGCGCACAAGCTGGTGTTCATCGGGGACACCCTGTCCCGCCTCTTGACCTCCGCCGACCTCCGGGCCAAGGTAGGCATTGAGCTCCTGGCATTTCTCTAGATCATCCGGTCTAACACTTTTTTTTTTACTGAACGAAGAACAGATGTCTTGGTGACTGACCTTTACCGCCTCCCATTTCAGATCACAACTTCCGGAGGGAGACTCTGCCAATCGTTGAAGGCGGTCGTCGTGGCAACAAAGGGAGCAGCACAAAACTATCCGTCAGTGTCTGCCACCCAGGAGATGGTGGACCGCGTCAATGAGCTCTCCCAGCAAGCCGCTGGGTTCTCCACTCTGCTGCAGCGTCTGGCTCAAATATCTTCTTGATATTTCATGATGCTCTGATAGAAACTCTATAAACACTACATCTATATTTTAGTGTTGAAATGCCTTATTTGTCCTCGCACCACTATATTTCCATACCTTTTGTCTGTGAGGGAAACCATTCCCCCTGCGGCACTCTGCAGCTGTTATAATTCAGCTGGGTTTTCATTATGTTGGTTTCTCTTTATAAAGACTTTATCCCCCTTTTTTAAAAATTTGCTTTGATGTCGGATATCTTTGTTTTTTTAAGTGTTAAGTTATTGAATATTGAAATCCCCCTGAGGCTGAAGCAGTCCATGTGGACCTGTTATTTTGGGTGCTTTGCTTTAATATCCTTGCCATATTTCCTTTTCCTTGCACATGATGGCTGTTTTTCTTCCTTCCTTTATTTATTTAGTAAAGCCCACTCTTCCAAAAATAGTCCAGAAAGAGGGCCTTTGTGTTCTGTTCTGGCCTCCCTTTGTACAATGATACCCGATGGTCTTTTTTTTTTGTTTATTCATTACTCTGAGAGCATGCTGACTTTAGTATTTCAAAGGAAAGATCAATGAGGGGATTGCTTTCCATTTCCATTAGAGAACAATTCCCACTCAGCACATTCTTCAGTTAACCGTTATGCAGGTTATTGAAGTATCTTAAAAACTCACAGTGTTTAGAGAATGACTAATGTTGTATTGATGAGAAATTACCTAATCTTGTTCTTTCCCACAGTGAGGTGGATTAGAAACCTGTCGACCGAGTTCACCTGTTGCAACACGTTTTGTTTGGATGTGTCTCTTTGCATCTTTTTTTTCTTTGTCATTCATCTTCATTTCCCACCAGATGCCTAACAATGATGCGTACTCATGTGGAATTAAGCAAATGTAAAAAAACTAAACAGAAAAAAAACAGACCCTTTTGCATAGGTGTTATCTCTCACTTTAGGATGCACAAATGTCACACGCCTGACTTTTGAAACGGTCGGCGTAATGCATAATTTACCACGTTGACCCCACTCAGGTAAAAACTGCTTTATAAATCACACTACATCCTCAGATTAATGGGAAAAAAACACCCGGCATGTTTTTGAATACTATGTTGTTGCTGGTTACACTAATCTTGATCATCATGGCTAATGGGGTCTTTATGGAGCAACTATGTTTACTGTTAAATTTAAGCTACATATCGTATTAAAGTCGGGAGAAAAGGGCTTAAAGTTGGGATACAGGTTTAAATTTTTTGTAAAGGATGTTTTTTTTTTGGTCATTAATGTGACTGCTTAGCAATTTCTGAAGTTTTCATGTGTTTCTTGGAGGGCTGTTGTTACATTGTCTTGTCCACCTGCGCCACCTTGTGGTATATTGAAGTATTGCCTTCTCCGGTTTTATTTTTGAGCATTATGATCGATAGTTTTTCTTGCTTTAACCCTTTTTGTTCTGGAGTTTCTTGTTTGAACGTCTTTAATTTCCAAAAATTTTGCATATGCAAATTCTTCAATCACAAGACTTGGATTACAGTGTTTTGCAGTTGTTGGATATGTTTTTCTAACATTTTACATAGCAATACACCAATATGGCGATTTTCTTATCTAAAGGTTTTTTTTTTCATTGATAAGAAACACACGTTACTATGAACACTACAATTGCTGTATGTATTTTGTATTTCTGCTCATAATACAAAATAGAGTTTTGAAACAAAGCAATCTTGTTTTCTGATGTCACTGTTTTAAATATTTATATTACTCCAAAAGTTTTTATTTATTGTTTCCCTGAAATTTTATTGTTTCCAAATAAAGTAACTTTTTTTTCTTCATTAATCTTCACGGGATAAACGGCGGGGCGGCTGAGCTCCATTTACCGTAATATTTACCGTAAAGCTTTCCGGACGAGCCGAAAATCTCCGGAAAGTGTCGAAGTGTGACGCCGCGCAGCAGCCGTAGCGACGTCCGTCGGAGTTCAGACGAGCGGAGCGAGCAAAATGGCGGACGAAGATATTACGCTTGATGGAAAACCTCTACAGTCGCTCCGAGTTGCGGATTTGAAAGCTGCTTTGGAGCAAAGGAACCTACCAAAAAGCGGGCAGAAAAACACTCTAATAAAGCGACTTAAAGGGGTAGGTTTTGTTTTTATAATTGCGCGTGCTTTGGATGTCTGTGTCGAGTCCGGCTAAGTTCGGGAAGAAGAAGGCGAGCGACAGCATCGGGAGGGGGGGGCAAACGTTAGAGGCCGTAACTGTGTGTAGAAGCGGGAATACATAAATCAACACACACGATATTACGCATAAACAACAGTAGGGACGGTCCAATGGTTCTGACTAGCAATACAACTGAATTATCGAGCGACAGCTTCAGTCCGGGTTTGGAACAGTTCGCTGAGCACCGTGTTGCACACTGTTGAAGTGTGCACCTGTCAAGTCGAGGCCTAAGCTGAGAGTAGCCAACAGCCGCACAGTGTACAGTACATGACAGCCGCCGGCCGCGCGCATCGCATGTCTGTGTGTTGGGGGAGGTTACGGGAGCGCGCCTCGCGATGTAAACATATTTGGAAGCGTCATCAACTGCTAAAGTGTGCACTTTTTCTTTCCAGAAATGTTTCCCACATATATCTAGATTATTTTATTAAACGTGATTTTTATCCAATTAGCAGCTTGTAGTTTGTATAAATTATTATGAATTCAATTCAACTGATTTAATATGCCACCTGATCCTAGATATATTTTCATGTTTTTTCAACTTTTATTCATATATATTGAGTTATATATATATATATATATATATATATATATATATATATATATATATATATATATATGGTTATATTTACAGAAGTTGTGAGGTTACAACGACCTTTACTCATGAGGACGAATAAGATATGTTGATGCTGCTGATCAATTAATCTCTCAATAATTTTTTGATTAATAATCAGATGGCAAAAGGTTCCTTAAAGATTTATTTTTTATTATTACAGAATATAAACAAGGTATAACTTAAACTTTTCCAATTAACAGATGGAATTTATATATATATATTTTTATATAAATTTGGTATTAATGTTAATATTAATGCTGTAATTAATGAGACAGTCCTTTTTACCATAGAAACCTTGCTGTCTCGCAATAATCCGTAATCTCTTCTGACAACAGTAAATCTGGGTTTTTGGGGTAAAGTTTTGAATAATGTTTTTTTTTTTTTTTACCAGAATAAACTGACATTTTTTAGTTTGATAAATCTTTTTTTTTTATACCTTTAGCTTTTAAAAAAAAAAAAAATACTCAAGTGAAAGATCCATAGGATATTTATAGGTTGATTGCTTATATAAAGAAGACAGAGTTTTAAACTCTTTATATATATATATATATATATATATATATATATATATATATATATATATGTTTGATATCAGCTGCTACATGACTGCCAAATTATTTACAAAGGTGATCGCCACTTTAGTGGTGTTGTCAAAACTCTGAAAAGTATTAATACTTAAAGGCTGTAAACGGTTACAATACTAATTGTGCATGATATCAATACTAATAAATAAGTAAATAAGTAATGTTTGCAAATTTTTGTTGGTGTTATTTTTAGATTTTGATTATTTATTTAGCATTTATTTGTACTCTTATTTGACTAATTCTGTTGAAAAAAAAAGATTTTCTATGTTGAGATTGGACACGGTGAGTTATTCAGGTTAATAAGGATATGTTTTATGCCATTGCTTACATAATTTTTCTTTTCATCCAGATTGTATTGAAAAGGGTTTAGAATATCAAATACTTTCCTGGGATCGATATCATGTTTGAGTTATTAGTATCACTGTAGTGAAGATTACTTTTTTAGTTTGACTCCTTTCTAGTGATGTGTTCTTCTATTTCTACCCCAATGCCATACTTGCACAATGTGTCTGTTTTTAGCAGTTATGATCATCTAAAGTGGTTTTGTGTGTTGAAAAAATACTTGAGCCCATTTATTGTTCATTGAAAGTACCCAACTTGTTGACTGTTGATTTAATTCTGCTGATTGTTGGGGGATTGAATAAATCTAGAACAGGCAAATTCCAACTAAAACTCTCTTGTGTAATTGCAATTATTTGAATCATTTGCAATGTGTCCCAAAAAATGTCATAAAGCAAAACTGATGGAATTTAAATATGTTTTCAGCAGTTTAACAGATGTTTACTTCAGCTTATGTCTGCTTCATGATGTTTTTGTTTACCAGTTATTGGTGTGAATTAGTAAAGGGCAAACAGAGTTTTATCATCAATAATATCTCTTAGTTAATTAATAAATGTGAAGGGCGTTTTTGTTGTTTTTATACAAAATCTTCAATGATTTATAATGAATTATTTCACTTTTAAGTCTTAAAGTCTTCAATACACTCAGATCTTCTTTCCTAGAAATTTAATTCATCCATTACTTTTTCCACCAATTCCTTATTTTAAGCATTGAATCAGTTTTTGATGAAACACTGTTTTTTTCTTGCTTCTTTTTGGAACATCCCAACTCAAATGTTTTCTCCCTTTGTCTCCTAAGAAGGTACAGATTGATCAGGGATAGCGGTAGCTGGCTCATTCTACTCAAAGCCATAATGAAGCTCAGGACACACTGTAAAAAGATAGGGAACTTTTTAAAAACTCTTGGTATGAAAGCCTTGGAAACATAACCCAGAAACACCCAAAAAGCAACTCAATTAAACAGTTAATGGGGAAACATTGACATAGATTTTATATTGAAATAATAACCCTTATTTAGGTGGCTTAAACTTACAGAAACTGTGGATCATGTTTGTTATAATAGGACTAGATGGGATCAATATCATTGCTGTGTTTGTAGAATAAATATTTACTATTGTACCCATTTTGATATGCAGTGAAAATATTGCAAATGAAAGTATTGGGCTGAAAATATCTGCACAAAAAATAAAAATAATGCAACCCTTTTTGTCATTTTCCTAATCATATTTAGTTACTTTAACACAATCATTTCATATTAGCAGGGTAGGACATAAAACAAATTGAGTTAAAGTAACTAAATATGATTAAGTAAATGCAAAAAGTGGTTGCATTATTTTTATCAGCGTAAAGGTTTACAATGAAGATTGCTGAGTCTGTATATAGGGAAATAGACAAGCTTTGTTGTGATTTGCATACAGTGAAAACATTTTTCAGTGCTGCAGTGCAGTCTTTGGTGGGATAGCAACCAGGATGCATTGTAGGTTTGAGTTAGTGAACATCAGACTGTGGGATGTAGAGTATACCTTATAAATGGCATTTGGATTATAGCACTCCCTTCAAAGAACATAGTTTCTGTAAAAATAGAAGCTCATAAGTCAGATTTTAGAAAGAAGGATTTAATGTTCAGTATTTGCAGCTAATATCAGTTTCTTGAAACCCTTTCTCTGTTGCTTTGATGATTATAAACAGAGTCTGTTTCCATATCTGTATTGATTGGGGAGTGTTGGCCTAGTGGGTTAGAGCAGTGCGCTTGTGTTCTGAGAAGGCTGCAAGTACCTAGTTTGATTCCCACAGCCTCCACTCTGGGTTCCTGAGCGAATTCCTTAAATACTGATTGCTACCCAGGGCCCCCACAATGGCAGCCCACTGCTCCCCAAGGGGATGTGCCAAAATGCAGATTATGAATTTCCCCATTGTTGGACAATAAAGGATTTATATTTTTTCTTTGCTTTTTTTATTTTTATTTTTTATTTTTTATTCCCAATAGGCTCTGATGCTGGAAAACCTACAGAGGTCATCATCTTCTCATAGTGGGCTGCAGCCTAATTCACAGGTTGGACCTCTTTCTCTAAGCCAAGTTGCTCTGAAAACATTTCAACTACAGTTCCTGCAGTTTAAAGTTTGTTTTTGTGTTGCTCTGTTTTTTTGTTTTAATTTTTAGATAGGAGAAGAGATGTGTCAGAACAGTTTCATTAAACAGTACCTGGCCCAGCAGCAAGAGCTCCTACGACAGAGACTTGCGAGAGAGGCCCAGCGGGAGGAGGAGGCCGATGGTAAAACTCTTCAATAAACACTCAAAAGAGCCAGACATATGGTAAAGAAGCAACATGACTTTAAAGGCTGCTGTGTGTATTTTTTTTTTTTTTTTTTTTTTTTTTTTTTTTTTTTTTGCAGAAAGCCCAGCTGGAGCAGAGGAAGATGAAGACCAGTCTGAAGAAAATGACAGCCCTCCCTTCACCAGCAAGGTCAGTAACCGGAATTAAATAACAGGAAAGAGAATCAATATTATGTTGTAAAGTTATGGTACTTTAAAAAAAAAAAAATATTATATATATATATATATATATATATATATATATATATATATATATATATATATATATATATATATATATATATATATATATATACCCTATATTCCTTATATTAGATTATGTAGTTACAACTGTTTATTTATTTCAATAACTCAGTTCTCAGGGACCTAAAAATATAGTAATTTCACACGTTTTTGTTATTTAAGAGGATTTGCATCTGGTAAAAATACAGGATTAAAGATTATCTCATTACATCAGAGCAATAAAAACATTTTTAATACTAAAATGTGAACTTACACACATTAATCTGTTGGAAAGACCATTACTGGCTGTAGTACACTGCAGCATTATGGCTTTTTTAAGAGAGATGGAGAAGAAGTGAACGTAATAAAAAGTCATGTTAGCAGTTTGCCAAAATCTTGAATAGGCATCAGAAAACA